CTATTTACAAGAGCATCAAAAGAAGATAATTTACAAAAAAAAAAATTAGCAAAACAAGAATTAAAATAAATAAATTCCGATTTAAAGTTATTCGAAATTAATTTGAGAATACGCTTTCGGAAAGAAATAAAAAAGAACCCGAACGAGAAACTTGCAAAACGAAATTTTCCAAGAAATTTTCGCTGAAAATATCAAAAAAAGGAAAAAGGAAACAATTAGTTTCGAAGAGAAATAAATTATGATTTGGGTTTAAATTTATTCGAAATTAATTTTGGGGTATGATTTAACAAGAAAACGTGAAAATTTTGAAAAAGGAATTAAGTAATTCTAAAATATTCCTGAATTCCAAGAAAGAATTTTGAGAAAGAATTGATCACATGACGTTTTCAAATTTAAAAGAACAAATTTCGAAAAGGGAATTTTCAATTTTATGAATTAAAATATACGAGAGAAAAAAATAATTAGAATTATTTTTGAATTCCGAAAGCGAAATATTGAAAAGGAATTCAATTAACTATATCGTATTTTCAAATTTTTTGAAAAAGAATGAATTTCAAGTTTTAAAAAAAAGCAATGTTGAGAAAGAATTAATTAATTCGAACGAAACGAATTCAGTTAATTTCTAAAATATTTTCGAATTACAAAAATTCCAAAAAACAATTGATTAAGAAGAAAGACGTAATTTCAAAAATTTTAAAAAATAATAAATTAGAAATGTTTTTCGAACAAGAAATGTCAAAAAAGATTTTAATTAATTCTAAAATATTTTCGAATTACAAAAAATTCAAAAAAGAATTAATTAAAATTGTTTTCGAATTTTGAAGAAGAAATGCCGAGAACGAATGATTAATCCTATGCATTTTCGAAAATTTCGAAAAGAAAATAATTTTGAGAAAGAAATGTCGAGAAAGATGGTTAATTGAGTATTTTTGAATTTACAGAAAATTCAAAATGGATTCTAGAAAAAAAATAATAATAATAATAATAAAATAGAGTTTTGATGTAAATCGAGGGCGGACCAATCCTAGCTACGATTGATTGGGTGGTAGCGTGGTAGGTAGGGCACGGGTAGATTGATGATGATGATGATGATGATGATGATGATGAT